AAATTTGAAATCTGGACCCTCTAAAACGCTATTTCCTGCATTTTGAGGGGAAAATTTTGCTGACACAAAGGGTTTCCGCTTTTGGAGGGGCGACGCCCCCAACATTTTCTTCGTGGGGCGACCGCTGCCACTGTTTATGTATGAAGAATAAATCGTTGTTGAGTTGTAATTTTCACGACGTGGTCGTTTCAGTTTCACTGCTAAGAAGATCGACCCCCTCACACATACGCGGGTCATAGATTGGAGTAAATTCATATCTAACGAAACTAAACTAAACGGTCCTTTTCAGGGCCACCATATCTTCCCAAAAGAGTGATACCGTACTAAAAAATACATAATTTTATTATATTCACTATAGTAGTCTGAGATGTTATGACTTAGGGTTAGGAGTACTTTAGGGTCAACTACTAGTATCTTATTTCGGGCTCGAAAAAAACTAATTGATATAGAGTAAAATACTTTATTTTAGGTGGAATTCATTTTCGCTGTTATTTTCCCCTGGCAATGCGTGTTTTTTTCATTATATCCTGCCCTAAAGGCTATTTTGCCCACCCTGCGATATTTTTTACCCTTAACCCTAAGTACCCTACTCACTAAAAAAAAGTTTCCCTGTCTTTCCATTTTTTTTAAGAAATCTTCCCTGCTCACTAGGGAGGGGGTACTGATATTTCCCGCCACCTACAAAAAATAGAAAAAATCCCCTGCCCTCAACAAAAATACCTTGGAACAGCTTTTCCGATGAACAGCTCCATTGGCTGCACCTGATTGTAACACAGTCCTGCATGATTGTAATACATTAGTAATGCCGGCGCCAGTTCCAACAAGCTGCCTCGTCATCAGAAACGAATTGTTAATTTCACTTTTCACAGCTTAGACCACAGGGAGCCCAGGAACTATAATAAACTGTACGCGGTACCTATGAGCGAGGCGGGCCGGCGTGATCGGCTGGTATCGGCTAGTGTGTTAGAAATAGACAAGGAATAAAGGCTCTAGCCGGCTCACATTTTTAAACTGGAAAAACAGGCGAAAAGAATGAAAAATAAAATCTATAAAAAAATACCAGCTTGAAGAATATTAGTTGCTCTTTCAAATTTCACGAGTTCACGGCACGGTAACCAGTCTTGTGATTGGTTCTTGGCACATTCTGGTCATCATCTGATGATCAAGTCTGATCATCTCTCGCGAATTTCGCCAGGAGCGCGTCGTGTCAACAACAAGTTTTGCAGCATTTGATATTTCGTCACGAAAGGCTCTGACGACCTCAGTCAGTTCCCTGGATGTTGATGAAACGGCCATCATTTAGAAATTCTCGCTAACTTTTACAAAGGCTACATTGCCATCTCGAGCAACGCTTTATTTGAGGCGGACCGGGACTATGGATTGAATACTACATGTATAGCGGGGTCAGCTAATGTATAGCGGGGTCAGCTAATGTAGGTCAGGTAATCGAATGTTGAGGTAATCGCAAGTTAAGCGAACCGAATGTTGAGGTAATCGCAAGTCAAGCGAACCGAATGTCAAGACATTTGGACGTGAAAATAACCGAATCTCATGACAATTGAATTTCAAGATAATGTCTAAATAACGACACAATTGTAACATAATGAAACAATGACAAAATAATATTGTAGCAATTACACAATAATGAAATAATTAAGAAATAAAGTTGAAATAATGAAACAATAGCAATAGAATGCTGCAGTAATAACACAATAATGGAATAAGCGCAAAATAATGTTTAAATAAAGACCAAATAACCGAATAATGACCAAATAATAACCAAACAAGTTTCCAAATAAAGACCAAACAACTAAACAATGTTCAAATAATGACACCAAGCTAATTTTGGCGGTATTCCACCCCATACAATTGCACATTATCCAAAGCACAGTCAACTTCCTGGTTCAACTGAGGTACCCTGTATTAACAAAAACAAAAACAAACAAAAAAACAATACCATACCCAGATAATTCCCTGCCATATGATAGAGATTGTATGGGAGACTGTCTGAATATTGCAGCTATATGAAACAATCGGTTGCGAAAAACTAATCGAAGTAAAGGTTAACTTTGGGCACTAGTGACCGTCAAGGTAGCTGAATAATTAACGCACGTCCGCCATCTTGCATAGAGAATAGAGTGACGTGTGACGTGTCGTGTCGTTCGAAAGGGAAAGAAATAGTTTCCACGTAATACACTGCGTATATAGACCCTGTTATTTTGTTACTTTAAGACTATACATGTAAAGTGACAACGAGTGTTTATAAAAATAGAAATTATAAATTCGTTTTGGTGATTAGACACACTGACCTTCAGCATAGGCTACACCACAGGGAGCCCAGGAACTATAATCAACTGTAGTACGCAGTCTCTATGGGCGGGGAGGGGGGGGGGGTATCGGCTGGTACCACAGAAAAGTTAAAAAGGACTTTTTTTTAGACTTTACCACCTAACTGGAGTAATGGTGTGACCTACGTTTGTAAACGAAATCGGCCTAGCCAAAAAAAGCACATAAGAGTTAAAGGGTGGTGGTCGTCGTTCCACGGTTCTTATAAACAAAGATGGCGACTTCGACTGTTGCGCAGACCAGCGATTACCAACTGAGATGTTACAAAAGCTTTAATTGGGTATTTTTAAGGTAATTAAAATGTATCAAAGGAGACACCGGCGGTAATTAGTGCAATACGCGCTCATATCAAAACTGGTACTCGTGATGTCATAAGAAGGACACATTGGATTGAGGGAAACACAAATGTCTCATATGCGCGGTGCGACGACCACCGCCCTTTAATACGCGAAGACGAACACACGCACAGGAGCAAAATGACATTTTTCCATTTCTATGAGAAATGGGAATCGTTTGTGGCGATTACAAAACTACAATTACAAAAAATATATATTGAAAAAAAAATAGATGAAATAATAATAAAAAAGCAATAAACAGTAAATCAATGAACGATGGAAATGAAACGTATTAAAGGAGAAAAGTATTTATGTTAATTTGCCAGAAGATGTTGCTGTCTAAGGTTCATGTTATTTTCTAAAATTGGGCAACTGGTATTTGTACATTCAGGTTTGTACCACCCATTAATGTTAAAAAAATTTTGTTGTCACTCATATTCGTGAATTTTATAATGTGCTTAATAGTCTCTTCAAATAGTGCTTTTCGCGATTTTTCGTAAAAGGGGCATTCAATCATGAAATGGTACTCATCTTCTACTTTTTTATTTGAATACAGTTCGCAGATTCTTTTTTCTTTTTCGGTTTTTGGTTTGGTGTACCTCCCTGTTTCAATTTTTAGTTTATGATTGCTCAGACGAAACCTACTTAGACATTCACGTAGTTCGGCATTCTTTATTTTGATCACATAATTTTCTAAAGTGAATTCATTTTTGAAATTGTTGTACGTTCTGAGTTTATTCCCTCTGTTATTGTTATTTTGGTTATCATCAGTCCCTTTTCCAGTATAATATATATATTTTTTCAACTTCCAAACCTAATTTCTTGATTTCTCTGTCGTTCAGTATAGTTGTTGTTTCGATAATTTGTGGTTGGTTTATTTCAGTTAACAGTGTAGTTATGGCACTGTACCGTTTGCTATTTAATTGTTTGTTCATAATTGCTGCCTCCCTTACCAATTCATTTGATGTATTCATTACTCTGTTGAAGTATTTAATTAATTGTTTTTTTATGAATACGTCAAGTGGGTATTTTCCCAGTTCCCCATAAATACCCAAGATTGATGTGTTTTTCTGACAAAATGACAAAAGTTTAGGTGAATTTTTTCCACACTTAATTTTTATGTGCTTTCGTGACCCCTGATGTCACTTCCGTAAACTAGTATGGGTCTAATTAGTTTATCGAAAAGAGATAGCATTGTAAGTGGATTTAAATTTGCCTTATGTCCAAGTTTTGCTTTTAAACTGAATAAAGCTTTTTGGCCTTTTTTTAATGTTTTCATTGTTAAATTATCCGTTAGAACTTAATACAACCCCCAAATAGTTGTAGTGTCTTTACTTTTATAGAAGAAGATATTGTTGTCTAATAGACGATTATTTTTATTGAAAACCATTTTTTTTGTTTTCTCTGTATTAACAGTCAGCTTCCAGTGTTTTGTGTAAGAGGAGAGATTATCCAAGCTCTTTTGTAATCCATGTTTTATTTCTGAAATGATGACAATGTCGTCCGCAAAGAAGAGGCACCTAACTTTACTGTTTCCTGGTAGGTCATTAATAAACAAATTGAAAAGAGATGGACTTAAATTACACCCTTGTTTAACCCCAGTATGTGATGTGAATTCAGTTGTTAATCCATTATTATCCTTGACTTTATAGTTTACTTTACTGTACATGTCTTTTATAATTTTATAAATATTGCCTGTTATGCCAGAGTTTGATAATTGTAAGGTGAGGTTAATATTTAACCAGGTTGAAATACTTAAGTTGTTGATTCTTGATAAAACAGTCAATGGGGTAACTTCCTAGCTCACCATAAACAGCCATTTTGGTGTGAATTTGGAGAGACCAAGAATGAACCGACAAAATGATTGCAGACTTAGTTGTGCTTTCATCGCCCCAAACATCACTACCATATACAATAATGGGTCTTATCAGTTTGTCAAATAAAGATAGTTAGTGAGTTGTCATAACCGAGTTTGCATTTCAAAGCAAAGAGAGCTTTCATCCCTTTATTTTTTAAATTATTGATACCCTCTTTATGTTTGCCATTAGCAATTATAGTTATACCCAGGTAATTAATTTGCTGAACAATGGCAATTTCTTTTTCAGCGAAGAAGAATATATTATTGCTCAGGGCTCTGTTTGATTTTTTGAATACAATAACCATTGTTTTCTCTGTATTAACAGCCAGGCGTCATTTTGACGTATATATTTCTAAGTTGTCTAAACAGTTTTGTAGCCCCCTAGCAGATTTAGATAAACATAATCTGCATATAGGAGACAATTTACTTTTAAATTATCATGAACGGGGGAGTCACAGTTTTCAGAGTTGAAACAGAAACAGTCAGGTAGATCATTTAAGAAAATGTTAAAAAGAGTAGGGCTAAGATTGCACCCTTGTCTGACTCCAACTGTTGATTTGTAACTCTCAGTTAAACCCTCTTTTGTTTTAATTCTGTATCTGTTGTTTTCATACATGTTTTTTATTATATCAAACATTTTACCTGATATGCCGTTTTCATGAAGTTTGCAATAGAGACCACTGTCAAACGCCTTTCTAAAATCTATGAAGCAAGCATAGATTTTGTTAGACTTGGAGGTTGTGATATCTTTTGAATGGCTATTATTATAGAGATATTAGAGAGATTGTCTGTGGTCCTGCAGTTTTTCCTAAAACCGAATTGATGCTTTGAAATAATATTTTGTTTGTCCAAGTATGCTATTAGCCTAGTGTTTAGGATACTGGTAAACAGTTTTCCTAAGTAGCTAGATACTGCAATCCCTCTGTAGTTATTAGGAATTGTCTTGAACCCTGACTTGTGAATAGGAACGTGTTCCAACTGGCTGGAAAATACCTGAATTATATATATGACTAAACAATGTTTGAAGTAGTCTTAGTAGTAGTCTTAGTTTGCCAGTGTTTGGCCATATTTCAGCAACCCTGAGGTTGCCATGGCAACACCAGTGCGTTTGTATTGGCCAAACTCTAGTTCCCTAGTTTTGTTATTTAGATTAAACCTACCCACATTGGATCCCAGACACTTGTGTGTGATTGTGCATATGTATTCTCTTCCCTTGTAATAATAATAATTTAATAATAATAATAAGTTTATTAACACTTACACATTCCCGGAAGGATTGGCAATGGTTACAAATGTTTAAAAAGAAATAAAAAGTTACAAAAGTCACACACAAAAATAGATAAAATAAAACAAACCAAGCTAATACATTACAGGGAAAAAATATTAAGATTAAATTATTATAAATAATTATTAAGATGGAAAACAAAATGCAAAACTTAAACTGTGAAAGAAGATTGTCACTGGGATTGCTGTCTTATTTCAAAACACTTCTATAGGTACCTTTCTACAGGGAGTGTTAGACCACTGTGATATGCAGCCCTGTCGCGACCTAGATTTAATTATCTGTTGTCAACCATGTTGACCTTTCAGCCTGTGTCGTAGTCACGTGTTTTAACTGGATAATATTGTTGCAAGCGCGTTTCATCTCTGGATTGGTGTTCATATGGATCAAGACTACATTTGGGATGCTGTTGTAGTTGGGGCTGGAGTTGAAGGCTCGTCGACAGCGTACAACCTATCAAAGAACAACCAGAAGACATTGTTGTTGGAACAAGTCAGTATTTCAACCAGCGGTGTTATGCTCTATGTTATGTGTTTTTCAATAGTCGTGCGCTATAGGGATAAGGGTTGTCCATCAGAAACTCGGGTGGGGGATGGAAGCAGTGGCGGCCACAGGGGGGCAGAGGGGCGGTCGCCTCTCGAAAAAATGTTTCGGACGTCGCCCCTCTAAAATCAAGCTGAAAGTCTTTGTGTCAGCAAATTTGCCCCTCAAAGTGTATGAAATAGCGTTTCAGAGGGTATAGATTTCAAATGTTTAAAGGGGA